GGTCTTCAAAGACTCCTTGAGCACCAAAGTATTTGAGTCCATGACATGAGCGTGCACAATGCAGCATCTCAGAAACGGATGCAGGTGCATTAGGGAGCCTTGTTAGGACATGCAGATCATACATGGAGGTCAAGATTAGGGGTATGGATTAAGCAGAATGAAGAGTGGGTAACCCCGGGGTTGAGAGGTATATTATTTTACCAGGGAGCAGGTAATAAACATGTCCTGAATAGACTCAGATGGGGAAAGAGCTATGATCTTGCATGACTAACACATAACTAGTACAATTTCTTGTCATTTATGACAAAGACATGAATTTTCTCCATCCTAATATGACTGATACAGTGTCTCTTGTTTCGACTATCTCAGTTAGTCTGGCTCTGCCTGTCCTTTTCCCCACCTCCCTCGCTGTGCCTGACCCTCTCTTCTTTCCACAGGTTCTCAGGCAAGACGCACCTGCCGTTGCCGTTTCGGCCGTTGTTCCCGGCGTGAGTCCTTCTCTGGGAGTTGCAACATCAATGGCCGCATCTTCAGTCTCTGCTGTCGCTGAGCTTCCTAGATAGAAACCAAAGCAGTGAAAGATTCAATCCAAGGTCCTGAAAAAGGAAAAACACTTCACTCTGTGTACCTTGTGTCTTTCTAAATTTTTCTCTCCAAAATAAAGTTCAAGCATTCAACTTAGTGTGTTTGACCTTTTAAATTTTCTTTTCTTTTTCCTTTTTTTCCCTTTTGCCTTTTTATATGGTGGATTGTACGGTTCCTTTGTATAGAGAATTCTGATCCACATTAAGTTAACTGGTCTTTGCATTCCAATAATGCACTATTCGAGCATCATAGAGCAATAACGAAATAGCAAAAATGAATACAATTGGGTTTGTTGCTGTTGTTCTTGTTTGAGACAGTGTCTCACTTAGCCACCTGAGCTGGAATACAATGGTGCAATCTCTGCTCACTGCAGCCTTAACCTCCTGTGCTCGAATGATCCTCCCACCTCAGCCTCTTGAGTAGCTGGGACTACAGGCATGTGCCACCACACCCTGCTAATGTTTTGTACTTTTTGGAGAGACAGGGTTTCACCATGTTGCCCAGATTGGTCTTGAACTCCTGAGCTTAGGTGATCTGCCCTCCTCAGCCTCCCATAGTGCTAGGATTTCATGCTGAGCCACCATGCCTGACAGGATATAAGTGTTAATTGGAATAGTTTGAAACTTAAAAGTTTAATGCATTCCTAATGATTCTCAAACCATAGAACTTTACAATGAGAGGCAAAAAGTGGTTGTTGGCTCAAAGGAAAGATAGATCTGATGGGCTATGTTTACTTGTCCTTTAATTTTAAAAAGTGGGAAAGCATTG